CAGTCACAGCTGTGACTCTTGGCTGTTGGTCAGATTTTCTCTCTGGTTCAATTCTGCAGTGAAGACGTCTGAGACTGTGAACTGGTTTTCACTTGTCACACAGACTCCTTGAATAACTGATGGATGGATCTCTGTGTCCTGCCCATTGGACAGTGTCAAGTATTCATTGAACAATGTGGATTATAGATAATAGCTGATCAATATGTCTCGGGTCTTTTGATTGTATTTTTGTTGTTTTGTTTCTTTTGGTTGCTGCTAGTTTTTTTCATAAACTGTGAATGTGTCTGTGGTCACTTCACTTTACTTACATTCAGCAAACTGATGACTGAGGTTGCAGAGTCTGGTCTTGTTTGTTTGTTTGGTTAAACTGGATCAACCAAACACTGATAGTGTGACTCACTAGCCGAGCAACATCACTGCTTCTGTAATGAATCGTCTTCAAACAGCCTCAGCTGTTTCAAACCTGATTTACATGGTGAAATATTGTCTGATATTCAGAGACTCTCAGCTTAGATGTTTCTGTTGTTTCCAAGTTTTATAATGGAAGGAAAACCCAGTTATAGTTCAGCTGATTAGACAATTAGTTTACATTAGTTCAGATTTTTCGGCTGGATTTATTATATACTTGAGTTTATTTACTTGCTTCAGTTTGAATGTGTTTCTGTTTTATTTCAGCGTCAGTAAACAGCTGCTTTGTTGAGTCTGAACTCAGTCGCTCCTGTCTGTGTGTGATGTCAGCGAGCGGGTAAAGTCCTCTGATTGGCTGCTATCACAGCTGAGTTTTTAACCTTTGGTCACGACCGGTTGCCAGGTTGAACTGTCAGACACACACACACACCTGCTGCAGGTGTGATCAGCGGCAAACCACAGAGGAGCAGGAAACAACGTTATCTGGTCATTATCACTGCTACAAGATCAGGTTTCCACGACAACCACCGTGTTAAAATGGCCGCTGGTGTCTTACGTCACCACAGTGACCGTGATCAGGCAGGAGAACGCTGATAAGTTTTTATTGTTTGTTCTTGAAGAACGTGTCAGAGGAAGTTGGAGAGAAGATCAGGGGTTTGTTTTTACATCGTTTGTCAGAGAAAACGAGAAGTTTGAAGACGCCACGTTTGGATTTAGAAAATTTATTTGTTTTCACTATTTTCTTTTCAAGAAAAATACTGTCAGATTAATTGACAGTGAGTAGTACTGCAGTATTGTTAAGATCATGATATAAGACATTTTATCTCACGTAGATTTATACCTGATTTATACCTGAATGATCCTAAATGATGCGACACAGATCTAAGACCAGAACCGAGTCCCTGTTGGGTCTGAACCAGAATCAAACCTCCTCATCATCTGTGATCCTTTATTTCTCTGTAATCTGGTTTGATCTTCTGCTCAGTTCGTCTGTGTTGTATCTGTGGTTGAACTGGTGTGAATGCAGCAGTTAAACAGTGGTTAAAGTTAACTTCACTGGTTCATGCCTCTGTGACCTCCGTGACCCGGCGACATGATGCAGACAGTGTCTCGTGTTGCTCTGCACAGAGCAGATAAGATGGAGTTACGTGACTCTGATGCCATCTGTTCAGACGGTTCTGTAGCCGGTAATTTGACAGAGATCAGATGTCTGCACAGGAATGTCCCGACTTGAAAAAACATAATTGGAATCCCATTTATTCTGGTTTATAGTGTGAAGTGGAACATGGTGTTAGAGACACAGCCTTGGGCTCCAGCTGCCGTTCGGAGGATCCAGACCCTGACGTGGTTTTGGAGAAATGAGATGAAGCTTCACATGAGCCTCTTTATTCTTCCTTATTCTCTTAAACATCAAAAACTAAAAACCAAGAAGGGAAAAGGCGAGTGGAGTCTCCCCTTCTCTCTTCCCCTGATCATGTAGACGATGAAGATTTTATTCCACCTTAAAGAACCTAAAACAAACTGTCAGTCGGAGGCTAAAAGGTGAAGACGTCACCATAGCAACAGTCACTAACAGAGGCTGGTGTACAAGTAAAACAGGAAGTTAACTGACAGAAAAATAATCTGTAACTACTTTGATTATCAGTTCATTGGTTTAATTCATATTTCAGGCAAAAATTAAAATAATAAAAAGTCAGTTTCAGTCTCTCAAATGTGAAAATTTCCTGTTTTATATTGTTGTTAATTGAATATTTTCAGTTTTTTGAACAAAACAAGACGTTTGAAGTGGAGCTGTAATGATTTGTTGATTGATAGATCGATCAGTCGATCCAGAGAAAGTTTCAGCTTCTCACCTGTGAAGATCGTCTTTGTCTTTTTATGATAATGAATGAAAGTGAAAACTGTCGGTTATTTTCTCCCACAGCTCAATGAGATGTATTTCAGTCACTTGTTTTATTCAACCAACATTAAAAAAACCCAAGATAATCAGTTTATTATCATATATGAAGAATTTAAAGATCAAAATGTCAGAAACAACAAATGTTTGACTTTTTTTTCCTGAAAAATGACAAAAATGATTAATTGATGATCAAAATAGTTTAATGTTGCAGCTTCAAATGAACAACTGAATAAGGATTAGAGGATAATGTTTGGTCGCAGCTGTAATAACATGATGAATATAACATGTTGTTTCTTAGTATTATCGCATAAATGAAGCTGTGACCCTGAGAAAACTCCTTCAGCCCCTCGTGACAGTCCTGGATCAAACTGTGGAAAAAGTGGATTGTGACAGTGAATCTGGCTCCTGTCGGCAGACTGGTCCTGGTCCTGGTCCTGGTTCTGGTCCTGGTTCTGGTCCAGGTCCTGGTCCGAGTGAAGAGCTGTGTGTGTGTTTGGACTGAGAGTCTGGAAATGTGACTAAAGCCTGAATGAATGAAGGAGTCAGAGGAGACGAGTCAGAGTGGATACAGCAGGAATTAAACTCTTTTATTATGTTTGGAGTGAGTGTGTGTGTGTGTGTGTGTGTGTGTGTGTGTGTGTGTGTGTGTGTGTGTGTGTGTCTGTGTCTGTCTGTCTGTCTGTCTGTGTGTGTGTGTGTGTCTGCCTGTCTGTCTGTCTGTCTGTGTGTGTGTCTGTCTGTCTGTCTGTCTGTGTGTGTGTATGTGTCTGTCTGTCTGTCTGTCTGTCTCTGTGTGTGTGTGTGTGTGTGTATGTGTCTGTCTGTCTGTCTGTTTGTCTCTGTGTGTGTGTATGTGTCTGTCTGTGTGTGTGTGTGTGTGTGTGTGTGTGTGTGTGTGTGTGTGTGTGTGTGTGTGTGCGTGTGTGTGCGCAATGGAACCTCCAATGTGATCTAGNTGTGTGTGTGTGTGTGTGTGTGTGTGTGTGTGTGTGTGTGTGTGTGTGTATGTGTCTGTCTGTCTGTCTGTTTGTCTCTGTGTGTGTGTATGTGTCTGTCTGTGTGTGTGTGTGTGTGTGTGTGTGTGTGTGTGTGTGTGTGTGTGTGTGTGTGTGTGTGTGTGTGTGTGTGTGTGTGTGTGGGCTGCGGCTGGAGGACGAGTGTTTGGGGATTTTCTTTCTGTAACTGCAGGTTTTACAACAGGAGGGAAATTCCTGCTGCAGATTCTGAGTCAGGCCGGAGGAGGGGGGGGACGCTCCAACACAACACACCGACCGGCACACGAATCTAATAACAAACTACAAATCGTAAAGAATTGGGGCGCGAACGGGAAGTTAACAAGCTCAGCTTCAGTCAGGGGGAGACACGTCTGGACCAGACTCACCGTTAATTATTAGATGATGTTTCACTTAAACTTTATCCAGGAGTTTCTTTTTTTTTCTTTTTTTTTTTGTTAGTTATATTTTGTTTACTTTATTCAGAGAGAGGGGGGGGGGGGGGGGGGGGGATGAGAGAGAGGGAGAGAGAGAGATTCAGCAAAGGGCCATGGATTGGACTCGAACCCACAGACTGAGCCTAAGTGGTACGCGCTGTACAGGTGGAGCCACCGGAGCGCCCACATCCAGGAGTTTCTTCTGTTCTCATCTATGATCAATGTATTGATCAAACGACCACCAATAACATGACGACCTTTGACCTCTCAGCTGATCTCCACCTGGCTGTCAGTCTGCAGAGGTCATGTGTGTTTTATCCTGAGGTTCAGTGAACGTCACACGCTGCCACTGTCAGACTTCTTATTTCTCTGCGACATCAGAGCAGCCATTTTGTTTTCAGGTTGTCTCTGTAACACCTCGACTGAACATCTTTAAATTTGGCACAAACGTTCACCTGGACTCAAGGACGAACTGGTTACACTTTAGTGACTAAAGGTCAAAGGTCAAAGTCTGGATAAACAGGAAGTGACTTGAAACTAGTCTGAGTGGCGGCGGGATACGACCACGAGGAGGAGATTTTAGTTCCTCCTGTCTCCCTCCTGACTGGTTTTAAAGACAGAAGAAATTAAAGTGCGACTCTCTGCTGTGACAGTCTTTAATTCAGCAGCAACATGTTTGTGATGAAACTGAAACTTTTCTCTTTTTTGTCCTTGTTGTGTCTCAGAGTCTGAAACCACTTCAGCATGAAGACCAGGATCGAGGTGCAGAGTGATGTCATCAGTTCTCAGTCCAGGAGAAAAGACGGCTTTGATTTCACGGCCTGCGTGTGGTCGCTGAATGAGACCTGCCCCCCCCCCTCCCCTCCCTCACCTCCTCGGCCTGTACCCCCCCCCTCAAAGACTCAGCACACTACAAAAACACACACTTTAACAACACAAACACACACACACACACACACTGACAAACACAGCAGAGATAGTTAGTGGGGGTTTGGCTTTTTTGCCTTTCAGGGCAGAGTGAGGCCTCTCTCTCTCTCTCTCTCTCTCTCTCTCTCTCTCTCTCTCGCTCGCTCTCTCTCTCTCTCTCTAAGCGCCATCAGGATGACATCATACCGGGCCGACACAATGGAGCTCTTCATCCTCTGAGGTTCCTCGCCAGGCTGCGTCACTGCGCTGGACCGCCGGCTCGGGACGCCCAAGAGGAGGAGGGGGAGGGGGACTACGAGTAGGGAGGGAGGGGTGGGGAGGATGGGCGGTGGGGAGAGGAAGAGGAAGAGGAAGAGGAAGAAGGGGTTTGACATGTCAGAGCGTCCGGGGTCCAAGTCTGGATCTGGGATGCTGAAGCCCGGAGCGGTGCGGCCCATTGGGGCTGAGGCCCTGGTGGTTCTGCTGGAGGGGGGGCTGGACCGGGTGGTTCTGATCGACAGCCGGCCCTTCGTGGACTACAACGCCTCGCACATCCTGGAGGCGGTGAACGTGAACTGCTCCAAGCTGATGAAGAGGAGGCTGCAGCAGGACAAAGTCCAGATCGCTGAGCTGCTGCAGCACTCAGCCAAGAAGAAGGTAAAAACCACAGAGTCACAGGTTTATCTGTCCTCAGGAAACCAGGTCAGAACCTTCTGTAAACCTGATTGATTTAGAGACAGACACTGTGAGCTCAGAACCTGTGGACATGAAGAGACAAGATCAAATGATGCCATGTAACTAAGACAGTCACATCAGTTAAATTCAATTAATTACTGTATGTTTTTTCAGATTTACATGTATTTAAATTAAAAAAAAATCCAAATTAGAGGTAATTTTATCTTGTGGATTTGTATTCTTGAATACTTCTGCAAAAATCCATGAAATGCAACAATGTGAGAAAGAGAAGAATTAGTGAAGTGAATGTAAAGTAAAATCCTCTGCTCTGTGTTTAAAACACTTTAAACTCTGAGTCTGCTGCGTTTCCCGGCTCTCTCTCTCAGTTGGACGTGGGCGTCTGACCTCAGAGCAGTGTATTTATATTTAACAAAGAGCTGCAGAGGCCGCTCCTCTCTTTTTGTGGTGAGGTGTTAAATTGGAATAACAGCTTTAAGGAAGCTCGGCCGCTTGTTTTACGACTGAGGCAACATTTTCCGTTTGATTATGAGCTGTAATTAGTCCTCTGTGCTCTGGTGGAGGGAAAGTTTCCTCGAGTGTGAAGAAGCTAGAAACATGTTGATCTGCAGCTGCTGGAGGTGGAAATAAAAGTCCAACACGTCAACTTAAACAGTGATGATGTGTCAGTGTGTTCACTTCTTCTTCTTCTTATAACTGTGTGAAACTCTCTCTGTGCTGTAGTTGGAGCTGCAGGCCGATCAGGAGGTCGTCGTGTACGATCAGAGCTCTTCAGACCCGGCTGCTCTCAGCTCCGAGTCCTTCCTCAGCGTCCTGCTGGTTAAACTGGAGAGGAGCTTCCCCTCCGTCCACCTGCTCTCAGGTGAGTCCAGTCCAACCCTGAACCTGCACCTTCAGCACTCACACAGCAACATGTCACCATCACCTCTGACAGACACTGAACTATGAAGGTAACGGAGATGGTGTCATATCTGCTTTTAGAGGAGCCTTTTGTAAGTTTTGGTATTGCTACATAGCTAACGTTAGCATTAGCTTAAACAGTTCATTTTTATGGCCTTTCGACCCCTGATAAATTTGGTGACCTGACTCTGCAGTAGACGCGAGTATTTATTGGCTCCGATGAGCAGTGATGTAAACACAACACCCGGGTGAACTCACTACCACCCACCCTTTCCTGCTGTGACGTCTCTCAGATGCAGACACTGTAAACACACCTGTCACCTGTCCAGCACCAGAATCACTGAGGCTACCCTGCACTCAGAGATGAAAGAGTGAAGCTGCAGCCCAGAAATAAGTTTGTCAAAACACACAATCATTGATCAGATGCTCCGACACTTTCACAGGAGCATCAACCTGGAGATGAGGTCAGACAGATCCGTTTTACCAGTTAGCATGGCGGCTAGCAGCTAACTCTCCCCCTGCGTGTGTGTGTGTGTGTGTGTGTGTGTGTGTGTGTGTGTGTGTAAGGTCTGAACACAAAGACAAACTTAAAAAGAGGTCAATCAGCTTTTATAAGGCAAGTTTACCTGCGTTTAAAAATTCTGCTTATACCTGATAATTTTGTTTTTAATTAACATATAAATTCTGATGTATTAGTGCAGGTTAAGATAAAGCAAAGAACTGTGTGTTAAGTAATAAAATGAGACCTTCACCAGCTGCAACATTAAGGTGATGCAGTCCAATAATATGATGTTTATCAGTCTGAATAATGAGGACTGTCACACTGTCACTGATACTTTGGTGGTTTGACTCAGGTTAGACTTACAGTATTTTTACAGTGTAGTATGACAGTTTTTCTCTGTCAGAGTGAACTGTCTGTTTGTTGTTGTGATCTTTGGACACTGCAGAAATAAATGAGCCATTAATTCTCATCTAGACTCACGCAGTGACTAATCACTGCAGCAGAGTGTGTCTCCTGCTCTTCACTGTCAGTCTCTCTTCATGCTGAGTCTGAGCTCGGTCACTGTCATCCAGCTGTTTATTGGTTTGAGCGACAGGCGGGTCGACTGCAGACGTCCTCCCTTCTTTCCACTGAGGCTCACGTTATGTAACCATGATGTAATGCTGCATGACGACTCCACCCTCACACGTCAAACACACCAAAGACTTCTGGGCTTCCCAAAATCACTCGGTCAAAGGTTTGAGAGTTACACAACGACTGAACCAGGAACCAGTTTTTGACTGAGGGTTCAGGCTGTGACGGGAGGGGAAGCTTTAAAGGGACGTACAGAGAGAAAGACCTGGATCATCATCAGGAACAGGGACAGAAGAACATTAATGTCTAAAAACAGACATGAACTGGAGCAAATATTAACCATGAATACAACAATCTGTCACTGAAAACAGTCCCCAGCTTTCCTCAGGAGGAACCAAAGGCTCTGAGGCACATGTTGTTGGTCTGAACATGGAGCCATTTTAATTCAGTTTGTTAAATGGAGACCTGAGGTTTTATTTCTCATTCTGAAGAGATAGACACAAGAAATCTAATGTTCAACAACATTCAAAAAAAAATGTTATTGTTGGTTGTGCAGTAACTACAACTATATCTCACTATAACTGTGATATAGTTATTAAGAAATCAAGAGGATGATAAAGGCACCTGAGCTGCCACTTCACTGACTGAGGTTATGGCAGCAGACAGACGGTGCACTAGATGTTTTTCTCCAAAAACCAGTGATGAAAACCTCAAAAATACTCTCTCCCTGCTCTGACACATTAATTAAGGATTAATCCTCCATGTATTAATGTCAGAGAGGCTGTTTATACTTTCTACATAGATCTGTAGTTCAAGACTCACTACAGACACTTATTATGAGGGAGCTCTTACTGTGAAGGCAGAAACATGAACAGTATGTGAGGGTTAAGAACAATGTTGTTTACTGAGTATCTGTTCTGGATCTTTCAGTCGTATCACATCTATCTTCCTCTGAAGCCAACACGGACTAGAGATCCCTTTAAGTCCACAAAAAAATAAAGTTTGAACATCTACAGTTCCACAGTAACTTCTTGAGCTGATGAAGGTCCAGTGATCCGACCAAAAGCTCCAGAACTACTACTAAATGACCCTGTGGTGAGATTGTTTTGTTTAAACCTTGGTTTTAGAATCGTAACATTAAAACCATGAACGGTTTTGAATGATAATAATACAAATTTAATAAATTAATTGCAGAATGGAAACCTAAATAGATAAAACCAGGACAACAAACAAAATTACATTAAACATTAATATGAAGGTGTAATAAACTCAGACTGTCCTCTTGTAGTTTTTATTACAGAGTTTCTGTAAATCCTCATGAATAAATAAAAAGTGCTGCTTGACCTTTGGACCGTGAGAAACACAATCTAAATAAAACACCATGAGACTTGAGCTGGACAGAGACAGAGTGCATGCTGGGAAAGGCCGCAGCCTGATTAGAGTAAAACAGGTGACGTGTCACTGACACCATGAGGTAACAGCATCTCTTCATCAGCTTCGTGTCGGAGGCTGCGGACGATCGATTCAGAGGCTTGTTGCCTGGCAACCAGTGTAGAGGACGAACCATCTGTAGCTGGTGGAGCTCAATATAACTGAACACAGCAGGTTTAAACTGATAAGCACTCAGACACAGAGACAGAGATCACACTCTGACAATGTTTAACATCAGTGGGTCCATGTGACTGTGCCTGTCTTTTCAAAGTAAAAGTCCTCTTTAAAATACTGCAGCAGGAAACACAGTCAGTCACCTGTCCACTGGAAACTCAAGTCAAATATTAATTATTAAATTGTTTTAAGAAAATATCATTACATTTTTATATAACATTTAGTAGAATAGATGTTTTCCGTATCCGTGGTAACAACAGGATCAAATCAACACAGACTGATGTCAGTGATAAAGTGAAGGTTGTTCAGACGGAGCAGAGCGGTGTGTGAAAATATATTCTATATTCATCCAGTGAGCAGCTCTGTTGTTTCCTTCAATGTAAAACTGTCACATTATTAGCTGAACTGTAAACACATTCTTAACATTTCTAAACGTCTACAACATGAGACTTTTTTATTTTTTCTATATGTGAGTGAGAATAATAAAAACCATGATTCTGCATGTTTTAAAATATAAATACTGTCCCATACAGGTGGACTGTCACTGTGATGATCACTGACAGGGTTTCAGGATTTTAAGAATCAACATCGGATCATTCAAATGGTTCAGTCTGGTTCAGTCTGGTTCAGTCTGGTTCAGTCTGGTTTAGTCTGGTTCAGTCTGGTTTAGTCTGGTTCAGTCTGGTTCAGTCTGGTTCAGTCTGGTTTAGTCTGGTTCAGTCTGGTTCAGTCTGGTTTAGTCTGGTTCAGTCTGGTTTAGTCTGGTTCAGTCTGGTTCAGTCTGGTTCAGTCTGGTTCAGTCTGGTTCAGTCTGGTTTAGTCTGGTTCAGTCTGGTTCAGTCTGGTTTAGTCTGGTTCAGTCTGGTTCAGTCTGGTTTAGTCTGGTTCAGTCTGGTTCAGTCTGGTTTAGTCTGGTTTAGTCTGGTTCAGTCTGGTTCAGTCTGGTTCAGTCTGGTTTTGAGGAGCATCAGTAAAAGCTGGAGCTTGGTGTGTCGTTGCCTCCTGACTAAGACTAAAACCAGCTGAAATGTTCCTCCAGGTGTTGGATCTTCTCTGGTCGTCGTTCCTCATCTCTGACACTAACTGTCTGTCTGTGGTTCTTCCAGGTGGGTTCTCAGAGTTCTCCCACCTGTTCCCTGGTCTGTGTGAGGGGAAGTCCACCCTGGTTCCCTCCTGTATCTCTCAGCCCTGTCTGCCTGTCACCAACATCGGGCCGACCCGCATCCTGCCTCACCTGTACCTGGGCTGCCAGAGAGACGTCCTCAACAAGGTACAGCAAAATAAACAGGAGGAGCTGTTCAGACAGACTGACCAACAGCTTGTCTGATAACAGGTCAATTAAGTGTTCATTGTTCATGATGTTGGTGGAGGTCGTCTTTGTCGAAACTAAAAAATCAACACTAATATTTATCTCCAGTAACTGACTGATCAGCTGCTGTTAGTTTACATCAGAGTCACCTGATCACAGCTCTGACCTCTGTGTGACCTCTAGTGACCTCAGTCTCTCTGAATCAGTAAAGATTAACCTGACCATCGCTGATAGATCACTGTTCAACTCCCATGATGTTAAATTACTGCCACAGTCGTTACACACACTATTCACAACAAAACCAAACTACATGTTCACATGTTTTTCTATGAACCTCCATCATCAGATCTGTCTTCCTCTGTAGCCAACACGGACTAGAGATCCCTTTAAGTCCACAAAAAAATAAAGTTTGAACATCACACACAACAGCCAGACAAAAAATCAAGATGAAAATCAGGCGAATCTTTTAGTAAATAAAAGCAGGAGTTTAAATCATACTCTCTTGTGTGTTTCTCTCTGCAGGATCTGATGCAGCAGAACGAGATCGCCTACGTCCTGAACGCCAGCAACACCTGCCCCAAACCAGACTTCATCCTAGACTCCCACTTCCTCAGAGTCCCTGTCAACGACTCGTTCTGTGAGAAGATCCTGCCCTGGTTGGACCGGTCTGTGGAGTTCATAGGTCAGCAGGAAAAACCACCACAGATACAAAACCAGGATCTGCAGTTTGATATAATCCGAGTTCTCATTCAGTCTGAACTCTTGTGTTTCAGAGAAGGCCAAAGCTTCCAACGCCCGGGTCCTGGTTCACTGTCTGGCCGGGATCTCCCGCTCCGCCACCATCGCCATCGCCTACATCATGAAGAGGATGGACATGTCTCTGGACGAGGCGTACAGGTCAGACTCATCAGTCACTGACTTATACTGTCATAGACGTCCTGAACTGACTTCCTGTCCAGCAGCTGGTGTTTTTACTGTGGAGCAGGTGGCTGGTTTACTACCAAGAGAGCTGACAGAGAAGTATTTATATTAAACATCTGATTTATTACAATATTATTAAATTATTCACAAAAATCAGATGTGGAGGTCGAGGAGTTCACATCAGACTGCTTCAGCTTTAACTGAAAACCTTTGATAATGTTTCTATCTGGTCTGAATATATTTCTGAACAATAAGAAATAAAACCTCCATATTTAAGTTTAAATGAATTACAGACTCTTTATTTATGAACCGGATCAGATACAGTGTCAAACGTTAAAGCTCCTCCAGTGTAAAGGTCTGTGTCCATGTGTAGTGTGATTATAGATCAGCTCTAGCTTCTATATTAATACTGTGAAAGTATCAAAGCCTCAGTCCACAGAGAAATGCACACAGCCTGTATTCAGAAACTGAGCCTTAAAACCAGCTGTCAGGACTTCTGGAACTTTGTGATGTCACAACAAAGCAGTCACCAAGCCCCGCCCACCTGGACCCACCATCCAAACCTTGCAGGATTTGGTTTCTCTGAGTGTTTTACCTGAAATCTGCTAGATTTTTATTGGATCAGTCAGAAAACAGTCAGCCAATCAGAAGAGAGGCTCAGAGCCTCCTCTCTTCTGATTGGCTCACCGACCTGTTGTTACTAGAGCTCCAGAGAGACGCCTGAGAGAGGAGATGTAAAACTACACTGAGATGGTTTTTATATCTTCTGATGGACTTCTTATTTAATCTGTGCATAGTTGTTGAGTCTGGACTGAACGTTAGCATCACACGCTATCTCTGCTAACACGACTTGTCTTCAGCTGATGCAGCAGAGTCGAGAGTTTGAGTTCAGATCCTGTTTGAAGTCTCATCGTCCACATTCCTCTGCACATCGATCCAAACAACAGACCATCTGTTAATGAGTCCTGAGCCTCATTAATCCGTCCTCTGTGTCACTGTCAATTACAGACGCTCGTCATGATCCTCACTAATGACGTGTGTGTGTGTGTGTGTGTGTGTGTGTGTGTGTGTGTGTGTGTGTGTCCCCTCTCCTCAGGTTTGTGAAGGAGAAGCGTCCGACCATCTCTCCTAACTTCAACTTCCTGGGTCAGCTACTGGACTTTGAGAAGAAGATCAAGAGTCCTCACGGTACAGAGACTAAACTCAAGTCCCTCCATCCCCAGGAGCCCAGCGCTGAGGTCCCCCCCCAGCCTGAGGACCGGGAGGCTCTGGCCTGTCCGGACCCCCCCCTGGGCCCCGGCCTGGCCCTGCTGGAGCCCCTCACCCTGCCCTGCGTGTTGGTCGACACCCCCGAGGAGCGTCTGCTGGCTCAGGCTCTGAGCGGCCTGCAGCTCCCTGACGGAGCCGAGGACAACGCCCGGCTGAAGCGCTCCTTCTCTCTGGACATCAAGTCGTACGGCGAGCCGGGCGGGGGCACCGCCCACCGCGTGTTCGTCCCTCACGGCGGATCAGGAGACGCCACCGACTTCTACAAACCCTCTGCCTTCAAAGAGCCGACCAGTAAGCCGTGCCAGTTCTCGCCGGTGGAGGAGGTGTCGGAGCAGTCCACTCCGGAGCAGAGCCCCGACAAGGAGGAGGCCGACGCCCCGGAGCGAGCGCCTCCGGCCTCTAGCGGTTTCACCAAACCTCCCCCTGCTGCTCCGAACTGTTCACAGCAGCTGCACCGCAGTGGCAGCATGGAGGAGAGTGCCACCAGCTTCCTGTTTGGCCTCTCCCGCAGCCAGCAGCACCTCGCCAAACCCGGATTCGGTGGCGCCCTGAAAGGCTGGCACTCGGACATCCTGCTGGGCCCCGTTACCGTCTCAACCTCCTCCCTGGCCGGCGGCTGGTACCTCTCCTCCGACTCCACACGTTTCTACTCCACCTCCATCCTGAGTGGCGGCGGCGGAGGCTTCGCGGCGTACAGCTGCAATCATGGCCTTGAGGCGGTGCGGCGGCGCAGCCGGCAGAGGACAGGCGACCGCGGGGACTCGAGGCGGAGCTGGCACGAGGAGAGCAGCTTCGAGAAGCAGCTGAAGCGACGCAGCTGTCAGATGGAGTTCGGAGACGGGATGACGGACAGCAGGTCCAGAGAGGAGATGGGGAAGGTGGGGAGTCAGTCGAGCTTCTCCGGCAGCATGGAGATCATCGAGGTCTCCTGAACCTGGTCCTGGATCAGGTCTACAGTCAGGACGAGTCTGACGGATGCAGCTTCACTCCACTGACGGTTGAACACAGAGAAACACACACAGGCAGCATCAGAGCGTCACACAGATACAGAATCTAACATCTGGAACATCAGCCTGATCATAAGAGGTTTTAAAGTGACAGCAGCTATTAGATACTGGTTTCTGAGTGGAGGGAGAATCGGTGAAACAGCTTCTCCTGCAGAGAGATGAAGTCGGGCTGTTTTTAATGTTGCATCTACAGTCTGTCAGAGAACAGCTGAAGTCTCTGACCTTAAATCAGCTGATTCTCTGTTCTGTGTTGATTTAAATGAGTCTCTCTCAGTCTTCAGTCTACATGTTATTTTATAGAATATTTACAGCTGATTTACAGCCTGTTTATATTGGAAGTGTCACTGTTGGCATGTGATCACGGCCACTAGTCCAGGACCACTGAGACCAGGTCTGACAGTAACAGGAATGGCTCACTAGAGGGCGCAAATGCACCACCTGTCCCTGTAGGTCCTTCAGAACCAGGAAGTACCAGTCAGGTTTTACACCGCCCCCTTTTCTCCAGTTTAGATTGAAATGTTAGTGGATCAAGTCCAGAGAAAAACATTAAAAGGTAAAATAATGTTGGAACATTTTCAGGGATCAAATAAAGACATAACTTCATCTCTCCTGAAGCAGTGGGAGTAAATGAAGCTGAAAGCTAAAGGTTGATGATGACAGACCCTCTGATCATCACCATGACGACACTGTACTGCAGGAGGTTGGACTGTACACTCCTCAGAGGAGGGAAACAGACAGACTGGCTGGTCAGAGCTTATGAGACACAAGACCAGCACAGTCTCCAGACCTGAGCCACGTGGATCTGGTCTGGATGAACTGGACTGAAGCTGATCTGCAGCTGCAGGAGTCTGAAATTTAGATTCAGTTTAAATTTCAAAAAGAAGATTCAATGATTTTTTTATTTTAAAATCTACAACAGTTGATTTATTCTGTTTTTAAATTATGTAAATTTAATGAATTTAAACTGGAGAAATGGAGGTGATGTAAAACCTGATCAAGGTGTGTTAAAAAGTTCAGCTGATGAACCTGGAGATGCTGTGTGTGTGTGTGTGTGTGTGTGTGTGTGTGTGTGTGTGTGTGTGTGTGTGTGTGTGTGTGTGTGTGTGTGTGTGTGTGTGTGAGATGAAGCAGGACGACAGACACTTTTCACTGACTCTGAGCCTTTGAATGTCTCGTCTGGTCTGTGGGTGAGAGCTGCTCATTAATTCACTCTGTCTGGATCTTCATCCTGATGATGAAGATGATGATGAGGAGGATTTTCTCACAGGCTCAAGGACCAGAACTGAAACCTGTAGATGTGGACCTGGATCAGGATGGTCTGAGTCTCAGCAGCTCTGGTCTGTAGATTCTGTAACCTCAGGTGTTGTTGGAGCTGCAGGGACGAACTGAACCCTTCACCTGTCCTGAGGGTCACCATGGAAACAAAGACCAGAGAGGACGTGGGTCTGGTTAGTGAGTGTGAAGAGGCTGGGACTCTTGGAGAGCGTGCAGACAACAGACGGATCATCACTCACATATTCACAGTTAATCTTGCACTACTGTGGTCTGGAGGATTTGATTCAGTGTATAAACAGTAAAAAGAAATGATGATGATGATGATGACGAAGAGGCTCCGAGTGTGTTTCTCATATCAGTCACTGTCTGATTTAAAAGAACAGCCCACTGAAAACATGAGCTGTTGGTTTTACAGATGGTTCTTCATTTACACCAGGTTTATATCAGACACACTTTATCTCTGTTATTTAAGAAAAGTTGGTAAAAGATAATCCTGTGGAAAAAATTTTGAGTGCCTTTTATTTCAGCAACTTAAAGAGTCAAGGGCCCCTGGACCAGATCCTCTGTATGAAAGTCAGAACACAACTACAGAGACACAAAACACTGACAAAGAGACAAAAAACAACCTCAGAGACACAAAACAACCTCAAAGAGACAAAAAACAACCACAAAGAGACAATAAACAACTACAGATAGAAAACAATTTATTGTGTCTCTTTCAGTCTGGGGTCTGGATCCAGATCAGATGCTGGAAACTGATGGATGGATTAATGAATTAAAAAACTTAATTTTATTAAGTAAAAGTAAAAAAGTAAAACTAATAAGAGTCAACGAGTTTCCAAACAACTGAAGTTAGAACTGATGTTTCTGTGACAGGAAAGATATTCAAGACATTTGTACAGCAACGTTAAAACTATAAAACCTAAAGGGAACTGAATTCAAAGATGTATAAGAATTTATAAGACCCGCAGAAACCGTGTAGAAACCATTGTGATGTGACTATAGGGGGCGCTGTCATGTGGCTGTTACTGTTACAGCCTCGTGATGTGGACAGAACTGGAAGATTTTAATAAGATTATTTTTATCTGATTTAAAATTGGCAGGAACATCTGCAAAACCAGAACATGTACAACACAAAGTACAGTAAATTGTCGAACATTAAGTCAGTTTAATTTGAACAGCCCAATATCACAGATCAATAATTTCCCTGAGGAAGAAACTTCAGAAAACCCTTCATTAAAAGTATAAAGACATGGACGGCCATAGTGGAAAATATAAAGAAAGAAATATTCAAAACAAAAACCACAGAGTTGGCTGAAGACCACAGGGCAAACAGAAAGACAGTAAGGACTAAAATGAATGAAATGTTTTGATGGTTTAAAGGGGCAGTTTGTCCAAAATACACAACAAAGATAAAAATCTGTCCAGTCAAAGTTCTGGTTTTCTGTGTCCAGGTGTGAGACTCAGAAACATCGCATTTAAAATAGCAGTGAAGAAACTGTCCATATTCAACCTGCTGACTGTGACTGCACTTTTCTAATGTTGTAATTTGGGTTAGCTGATCCTTTAAATGACTCAGTAGTGCGGGTGTAAAAGATTAATAACATACAATCATCTATTTAAAGAAAAGTAGAAATAACAATATTTCAGTATTTACTGTTGAGTCTGCAGCTCATGAATACAGTGAGGCTCAATCTGTCCAGCCTCCAGCAGGGGGGGTCCTGACCCCTTCACTGACTGTTCATAATGGGGGACAAGGTCCCAGAGTGTCGACTGGAAGGCACTCAGTTTTTATAAACCAGGCTACAGTATGGGGTTCATTTTATTTGTTTATAAAAATTCAAAATAAGATGTGGAATCCCAAACCAGTCTTTTCTTCTTTTTTTTTTTTTTAACTAAAATTACTATCATACAAATATATGACAGAAAACTTGAATGTGATTTGGATCTAAAACTGCAACTCTGCAAATTACTAATTAATGTTTTGCTTTAAAAACTCAATTCCAGCAGTAAACTACATGTATAACAGTGTGTAACTTGGATACCAGAAGGGGCGTGTCCTCTGGGGCAGCTGGACTGCCTGTCAGTCAACGCTCAGGGACACGCCCCCCGCTGGTCTCCGGGCAGGTTGACTGCTGCTGCTTTTCCACACAATTCAAAGTCAAGTGTAGTTTAATCCGAGTCACATCCCGCGGAGCTGAGCCGCTAAAGAAAAACTTCTGTGTCCGAACCAGAGTTCAGTTTTGTCGGATACAAAGAGTCCGGAGGAGCCGCTGAAAACCTGGAGATATCAGCTTGTTTTATGTGTGCCATGTTTTTCTAACGATAAACGGATTATTGGATGAAGCCCTTACCTGCAGGTAAGACTGTTATAATGATTCAACAGGGCACTTCACATTCCTCCCTCAGCTCCACCCGGAGACAAACGTGTCTGTCGGTTACATGAACCGGGGGCTCATTATAAAAAGGGGTGGGGGTCTCTAATTATCTAATTATCCGGGGCATTATAAATATATTATGATTTTATCAGATTCTTCGTGGTGACGTTCAACCTTAACAGAAAATGCCAATGCACACCGAAGCAACTTGATCTGCCCTTCTGCTCTGTGGAAGGAAAGGTAGCCCTGCGGTGTAGTAAGCGGAGAACACCCGCACCAGACTGCGTTGGAAATCTTAGATTACTTAATGCTGTAGCTATTTACAGACAAGTACACATGAGATTACCAGATTTAACGCAGTGTTAGTGTCTTGTTGTTAATTCGGCATGTTCGTATCACACCACAAATATGTTAAATTAATGTAAATTGAACTTTTATGACCACTTCACGTGTTATTTCTTACGTGTTCTTACCGAAATTAATGTCACATCGCGGTGGGCGACACTGAGTGTTGTGAACCAAAACCAAGTTTTCCTAAATAATTTATTCAAGCCTAACCGTCAAGCAGTGGATCACAAATATGCCGAAATGAACAGCACCACCTAACACAGCTCCTAATGACCCATTTGAAGTCTAATCCTACGTTTATACTTGATGAGACGCAAATTCACCTTAAATCGCCAGAATCTCTAATGGGATTTGGCGTGTTGTGTGTTAGTGGAAAATAACGGTTGTTGGCAGCTCCACGCTTCTTCTTCTCATAGTGACCCACAGTTTGTCCCTGAAAGAAAGAAATACCTGGATTTACCCGAATCAAAGACAAAAACAAGCTAGCCGAGCCGAGCCAGGCTAACGTAGCCGTACAGGTGTGTGAGGCGGCACCGTCAACAGGCGGTGTGTCCCCGGCTGTGTGTCCGGCGCTGCCCGGTGTGTCGGAGCCCTTTTGTTTGGTTTGGCCTGAATGGAGAGCGGTTGCCAGGGATGACAGAGATAGCTCGGCTCCTTATTGTTCCAGCCGGGGTTAGAGGAAGGTCTGCCCGGTGCTAGTTTATCTCTTTAAAACAAACAGCTCCTGTTGTCTTTGACTTCAACCGACATTTTGGACATTAACCGTTTAAGCTAGCAGCGGTCCCACCTGGTTTTAGCGGGAAAACACACGTAGCTCCTTGTACACTGTTCAATGATTCCTCCTCCTCAGAGCTGGGCCACATTAATATTTAGTGTAAAGTAAAAGAGGAGTGGACAGTGAGCTCCTGAGAGCAGGTGTAAAGGTGAACACATGAAGCAGCAGCTCATTAGATTTCCCTCCTGTGACCTCTCCAGGTAATTGGTGTTATGAGTCCAGGTCTCAGGTGAGATTACCTGGTCACTCCACGTACTCCACTGAACCTCATCTTGAGCTCTGCATCCTTTTACTTGAGACTCCTGTTACAGAAATGATGTTTTTACTTTACTTTACTTTATATTTCTAAACTTTAAAAAGCTCAGCGAGTCATTTTGACAACTATTAAAATGATTCAAAGACATTTCTGACATCACAAAGACTGGCTCACTGAACAGGCCTACAGGACTCTGGTCCAGGTGTGTCTCTGCAGCAGGAGCAGCTTGGGACCAGGATCGGTCAGCGTCTCTAAGTGACTCCTAAACCGTCTTGTTTTTAAACTCAGGTGTGTTTGATGTGAGCTGGAGGTGCATTATGGGAAATCAGTGAATCTGAACTTTGATGTTTTAATTCTGAATGTTGAACTTCCTCTGAGTATTAGCAGCAATTAGTCAGTGTTACTCTGAACAGTGCTTCATGTCACTGGTAGCTGTTTTATCTGGAGGTCAAAGGTCGTCAGGCTCTTAGAAACCCACATCTGCATGTTGAACCCTCGAAGGACCTTTGAGCCGAGTGTGTTGTGTAACCGTCGCTGTTTTTCTGTGGCTTCGTCCCATTTGAAGAGTTTCCTGTTGGAGTCAGGCAGTGGAGGATTAAAGTCCACAGCTGGTCCTGGATCTGTTTTCTGTTGGGACTCTGGTCTTCGTGGGAACCATGGGTCCAGCTGCTGTGGTCCAGACTATTTCTGGATGTTTCCCAGCTCTCAGGCTCTCTGCTGGGGACGTTTTATTTCTGTAGGAACCTCTGATGGAGGAAACGTTCACATGTTTCCTGAACAGAAAAGTTCTGAGTTCAGAGGAAACAAAACTTATTCTGCAGCTAATTTTCTAATCAAATGATCATTTTAGTCATTTAACTAAGTAAAAAACCAAAGATCAGTTTGTCAGATGTGAAGGTTCTTGATTCTTTGTTTGTCAAACTCGACAGTAAACTGAAGATCTTTCAGTTTGAAAAAAAAACCAACCACACCATAGTAAAAATAAAATACAATATATATCTCATTGCATAGAACATAGATGTTAGAACATATTTTGTCCCAGTTAAACCACAAGAGATCATTATTCTTATTGTTGTTTTTCCTATATTTTTAAGTATTATTATTATCATTGTTATTTTTTATAGTTTTCTATCTGTCCTTAAGTTAAAGAAAAAGAAAAAGAACATATCACAAACAAGATGAGTGGAAAGAAAAAAGAAAAGATAAGACAAAAAACTAAAGAAAACAAAACCAAAAATACAAAAGAGAAAACCCAAAAGGAAAAGAAAAAGTAAATAACACAGAGTAAAGAAATAAATCAATTAAAATTATTTTCCACTACAGGTAATCTGCTCCAGTATCTTGGAATAAGTCCAGGGTCAAAGGTTAAATCTAAAAAAAATGAATGAGAAGTCACTTATCAGATTGTATTTAAAGAGCAGAGGCGTCACTCTGATTATTTTAATTATTTATTTCTTCGTTTTCTCTGTAAAAAATAAGAAATGGTGAAAAAACATCCGTCATGTTTTCCCACACTGACTGTTAACGTGGCGTCTCCTGGGAGCTGCTGCTGTTTGTGTGTGATGTCGGTTACTGTGACAACAGGGTGATGTAACCGTACCTGCCAGGTGTTGCCATGGTCTGTCGGAGCAGCCCGTGTTGAATTGTGGGATAGAAACCGGAAACTGGAGATGATTAGTTTTGACAGGAGTCAAGTGTCACACTGAAACTCAATCAATCAATCAATCAATCAATCAAAGTTTATTGGTCTGGCACCTTTCATACAGGTTCATGTTTCAGATTTTTTTAGTAAGTATCTAATTTCTACACTTACATATATTTTTATATTTATTTTTTTAATGATTTTTTAAAATAGATTTTTAATTTCTTTTAATATTTATAATTTCAAATTTTTTTAAAATTATAATTTATCAGTTTTATTTTGCAATTATAATTTTATCATTTTTTAAATCATTTTTTAAAATATTTTTTGTAAATTCTTTTAAAATAATATTTAAAATTATTATTTTTAATTTTTTTTTTACTTCCAATTTTTTCTCAAGAGAGATTGATTGATTGATTTATTGATCAGTGAGGTGCTGAGTGTTTGACCTTTGACCGGTAGGAACCATGTGGTCCTGAAAGCAGCAGGAGGAAACATCAAAGGTTCACAGGGTTTAGTGACATTTTAATAAGAGACTGTTTGTTAATCCTGTGTGTGTGTGTGTGTGTGTGTGTGTGTGTGTGTGTGTGTGTGTGTGTGTGTGTGTGTGTGTGTGTGTGCGTGCGTGCATGCATTATCACTGTGTTGTTTTCTCTTCTAATCTTCCTGGTCAGCTGCTCAGTGTCTTTACAGAAGAGACTGATGAAGACAAACTGAGATCAAACCACAGCAGACCTTCACACTGAGGGTCACATGGTGGAGGTTCTGGTTCTGACCCTGTAGCTCATGGACCAGGTCTGAAACCTGAAAACCAAAACGTCCTTATCAATAAAGTTATTAAATTCAATATGAGACAGAAGCTTCTCCTGCAGGTTGTTGGTTCGCTCATTAAAACATTTGAACCTTTGAGTAGAGCTAATTAAATATTAATTACATCATTGATTGACAGATAAATAACTGACAGCTGTTTCAGTGATTGATTGATTGATTATTTGTCTCAGAGGTTTGAGTTTCTCAGTTCTGACAGTTTTCTGATTTTCTTTGATGGTAAAATGAACATTATTTTGAAGTGTTGGTCAGACAGGACAAGACACTTCCTGTAGTCGATCTTCTTAAAACCCGGTCAAAGCAAACATTTAACAATCACGTATTTCATAGTTTCCATAGGAACCAGTTCTTCTGAAACTCGTCTGATCAGCTGATCAGCTGTTTATCACTGACTGAACTGAGATAAAGATTCAGGAAACATTATGTTTATAATGATGTCATAAAGTGTGTGTGTGTGTGTGTGTGTGTGTGTGTGTGTGTGTCGGGCTCATTAAATCTGGATTAATCAGATTATTTAAAGGAATTCAGTTTGATCTTCTGACCTGAAGTCAGTTTGTTCACAGACTGAGTTACAGTATCTGGAGGTTATTGATCATGTACAGAGGCCGATAAGTGATCAGTGACAGTTATTGACCATCGGGTGGTCGGTATGATGTCATGTGTGTTTGTGTGTTTTCATGCTGCTTCGCTGCAGAAATAATTTGCTCCTGTGGGACAATAAAGATCTGAAGTGATCGATTGTTAAAATAGTTGCAGATAAACTTTATGACAATTATCTAATCAATTAATCAACTAATTGGTCGATCATTTCAGCTGTAGTCACATGGACTGAATGTAAAGTTATGAACTTTACAATTACACTAGAACAAAAAGAACAGACAACAACATGTTTACTGTTTAATGAGTGATCATTTTATTGATTGATTGATTGACTGATTGATTGATTGATTAATTAATTTTTTTAGGTTTAATTAAATCCAAATATTTTCTATATTTGCTGCTTTCCTTTCAAAGTAAAGTGAATATTGTTATTTTTGTTGGTTGGAGAAAACTGATGTTTTATCGACCTGATGATTAATGGATCAATGATTAATCAATAATCGTTAGCTGCAGTCTTAGTGAACATTAACAGC